TATATATATAAATATATAATATTATGTTTAATATTTTATAAATTGGGCGTTTCATTTTAATGACTGCTAGCATCGACATGAGCAACCCTAATCAGGCTACCAAGGAACCCCCGGGGTGTCCTCCTTTTGCGACGCACGTTGAGTGGTTGATTGTGAAACGGAAAGCAAAAAAAATGGGATCACATATTGCGAACAAATCTCAAGGTGATTTGATACAAGATAATAACAACCGGAGTTATCATGTAGATAATCACAAACATGTAGATACATGTATCATGTGGGGCCTACCAGATATATAGATAATATTCCTTCAAAAATGGTTAAGGAAGGTGTTATATCATCAATAAGCCATGTTAGCAAGAAAAATGAGAAGAGGGTTAGAGTGGATTCTGTTGATTGAGGCAAACAAGTTATTGGGACATATGTACAGCAAGGAACTTCTCTAAATTTGCCTAGTGGGGGATGCCCTATTACCTCCATGACCCACTTGAAGGGCATAGTCATTCGAGAACCAGATCCAACTATAAGGACTACCTCCAATGGTGATCTATCAAAATCCAAAGTTGATTATAAGACTTCATTGAATCTCCTGCATAAAGAAGGATATTTCCTCAACCTTAAGGATGATATCATGACACTTCAGGAACTCATGGCAGAGGCAACATTTGTTGATGACCCTGATGACACGTCTCTACACATGGAGGAGCCTTGCATGGCTCATGATAATATCTCTCTTAATGATATTGAGATGATGCTCTAGAGATGGACCTTCTCATGTAACAGTTTGATTTATGAATATATTTAAGGATGTGAATATTATCTCCTAGAATATCCGTGGAGCTGTTATTGCGAAAGGGAGACGTCGTCTTCGAGAGCTTGTTAAGTTGTTTCACCCAGACATCTTTATCCTTTTAGAAACACACTGTTTATTTGCAACAGTAGAAAAGTTCTAGACTTCTCTAGGGTATGAAGTGTGCCACATTGTTGAATCTACTGGACATTCTGGTGGTATTTGGGTTTTGATGCCCACCAATAGAAGATTTCTGTGTTGTAGTGATATTTATGCTAGCCCACACACACAAGAGAGTTCATTTGTGGGAGCATCTTAACATGGTTCGTCAATTGATCCACCATCCTTAGCTCTTGGTTGGGGACTTCAATTAAGTGCTCAAGCCTTTTGAGGTTTGTGGGGGGCTTTTCTCTCCAAACATGATGCATAATTGTGACTTATTCGAACTAACCATGAAGGACTTCATTACACTTGGTATCAAAACCAAATAGGTAAATTTATAGCCAAAAAGCTTGATAGATCTTTGATTAACCAAGATTGGTGACTTGCATTCCCCGAAGCTTTTGTAGAAAATCTTTGCAAGGTGTACTCGGACCATTGCCCAATTTTGATTCGTTGTGGTGGGATCAAAGACACTCGTGGGGAGTGTCCGTTCCGTTTCCTTGCAGCATGGACAACCCACCCTGCTTTTGGTAACGTCATCCGACACGCATGGAATAAAGGCTCCCCCACGTCCCTAACGGACTCCAGGAGGTTAAGGAGACTGCTTTGGTATTTAATCAAAAAGACTGGAAATATTCTAAAGAGAAAGTGCCATATCCAAGCTCGTCTGTTGGGAGTTCAGAAGGAACTAGAGAAGAGAAGCTCTGAGAGTCTTGTTCATTTGGAGGTTGAACTTCAACGGGAGCTTAATGTGGTTTCCCACCAGGAGGAACTACTTTGGTTCCAAAAATCTAGAGAGAAATAGGCTAAATTTGGTGATAGAAATACCAAGTCCTTCCACACTCAGACAATTATTCAAAGGAAAAAGAATAAAATCCATGGTCTTTTTCTAGTTGACGGCTCTTGGAGTAATGACCCGGAGGCACTCAAATAGGAAACACACAGATTCTTCAAGAATCTATTTTCCCAGATAACGAGCTCTCGCGCCTGTGTCCACCTCCCTCAATCACCTAAGGTAGCTATTATGGCACTTCTTGCTCCTATTTCCAAAGAAGAAGTGCAGGTGGCGGTCATGGGGATGGGCTATTTCAAGGCCCCTGGCCTATATGGATTCCAATCGTTCTTCAAAAAAAATACTGGCATATTATTGGAGATGATATTTGGAATATGGTACATGATGCGTTCCAATCTGGTTAGGTTGATTCAAGTTTGCTTAAGACCTTGGTTGTACTCATTCCTAAAGTTGATCACCTCACTCAATTGAAGGAATTTTGCCCCATAAGCTTATGTAATGTGGCTTATAAGGTTATTACGAAGGTACTGGTTACACGTCTTGGACCCTTTTTGGATGACTTAACTACCCCTCTCCAAGGTAGCTTTATCCCTGGCAGAGGTACAACTAAGAATGCCATATTGGCTCAAGAGGCCATAAATACTATTAAAAAGTGTAAGGCTAAAACAGGGTTCTTAGTTGTGAAGGTAGATCTTGAGAAAGCTTACGATAGAGTTAGCTGGAACTTTCTACAAGATACATTGAGGGCCTTCGGTTTCCCTAAGGTGATCTCTAACCTCATCATGTGAGGTGTAACAGGATTTGTCTTATCTATCCTATAGAATGGCTCTTAACTAGAGGAATTCCTTCCAAAACAAGGTTTACGCCAAGGAGATCCCTTATCTCCCTACCTCTTTGTGTTATGCATGGAGAGGTTTGCCATTGAAATTCAATAATCGTGTCTGGGAACCTGTTCCTTTCACAAGAGGAGGGCTTTCTTTGTCTCATTTACTCTTTGTAGATGATGTCATGTTGTTTTGCAAGGCTACCTCGGAACAAGCATGTGTGCTCTCTAAGGCTATACAACATTTTTGTGATAATTCAAGTTTAAAGGTGAATCATTATAATTTTAAATTTATCTTCTCTCCAAGCGTCCCTCGGGCAACTAGGGAGGAGCTCATGAATATTCTAAGTATTCAATGCACTACACACATTGGGAAGTACTTGGGATTCAATCTCATGACTAACCGAGTAACTAAATCAGATTTTAGCACAATTTTGGACAAGGTGAATTCCAGGTTAGCCTCTTGGAAGGGACGGTTAGTCAATAAGGCAGGGCGTTTGTGCCTCACAAACTTAGTGCTAAGGCCTTGCCCACGTATAACATGCAACTAATATGGCTGCCTCAGTTTGTTTGTGCTTCAATCAACAAAGCATGTAGGTCTATGATATGGTCTAATCAACGAAATTCTAACTGTTAGAACTTGGCATCCTGGGAGATCATTATCGGGCCTAAGCTCATGGCTGGCCTAGGGGTCAAAGATGCTAGATGTATGAATATTGCACTCCTAGGAAAACTTGTTTGCCATCTTGTTAACTCCCTTCATAAACTTTGGGTGCAAATCCTCAATGCTAAATATTTGCAGAGTGCCTCCATCTTAACAACCACAACCCCTACAAGTTCTTCTTATATATGGAGAAGTATTATCAAAGTTAAGGATGCCCTTCTTAATCAGTTTCAATTGAGATTAGGGGATGGCTCGTCGTCCTTCTGGCTTTCTAATTGGCTAGGAACAGGGAATCTATATCAACAAGTCCCTTATGTTCATATTATTGATTCAAATCTAGTCATAGCAAACTTTTGGAATCACAATACATGGAATACTCAATTACTAAGAAGGTTCATTCCCAAAAGTTGCATCCAGCAAATTGAGATGATCAATGTTCCCCAATGTCCACAGGGCGTAGATGTGATTTGTTGGAAACCTGATCCTACTGGGTTGTATTCGTCTAAGTCAGCATACCGTTGGCTCAACCAGATCAATGACAACCATTCTAATCCCATTTAGAGGAAAATATGGCGAGCCCAAGTGCTAGAGAAGGTCTGCTTCTTTCTTTGGCAGATTTATACTAATGCACTGCCTACTAATGAGAAGTGTGTTCGCAGCCACTTCACATCAGATGTTTTTTGTCCAAGATGCTCTTCTCAGGTAGAATCTATGCTTCACATACTTTGGGATTGTCCTCATTCCAAGGAACTTTGGCTAAGGATGGGAAGGTTTGACAGATTATTGTTTAGCCGTAATGATGTATGCACTTGATTGGAGGCTCTTCTTCATCACCATAATGCTACTTTCTTGATTGTAATTTGTTGGGGATCTTGGAAGTGGCGATCCAACAATATCTTTGGATGTCAAAAATGGACTATTTCACAAGTTTGTAGGATGGTGCGATCGAATTATGTAGACTATATCCAATTCAAACCAATTATGGCTAGTAATAGTGATCTTATATGGAGACTTTCCCCTCTCCCTTCCTTGAAGCTTAATGTGGATGACAATTTTAAGGACCATTGCATGGGTCTTGGAGGTGTTGTTCGTGATTATGAAGGGGCCTGGGTGATTGGATTTTCTAACCATTATCCAGGTGGTGATGCTCTTCGGGCTGAGCTTCTGACCATTCGAGAAGGTTTACAAATAGCGTAGAATCATGAACTCCGATCCATCATTTGTGAGACAGACTGTCGAGATGTAATGGAGACTATTCAACAAATGCAAGAGACAGGTTGTGTGACTCACATACATGATAATATTATCAAAGAAGTTCAACAACTCTTGTGTAAGGACTAGCATGTGGAGCTTCACGCAATCCTCTGTGAAGCAAATTGTGTGGCTCATACCTTGACCAACCAGGACAAATCTTCTTCTCTTATACAAACATTGTGATTATCCCTTCCTGTGGGGTTCTAGCTTCTCTAGAAAATGATTTAGAATCTTTGTAATCTATATTCTTTTTTCTTTATTCTCATATTATCAAATAAAAAATTGTTGAAAGTTTAGGGGAAAAGATATTACCCGGCTTCAAAATTAACACAATGACACATTACTATACCAAAAAAAAAAAAGTTTAAAAAAACTGTATCATAGTCTTAATTAATGCTATTTAAGCGATAGCCACTCTGGTTTGACTGCCTCTATATAAATGAATTTTTATCCTAAATGATCAATATTTTATATTCGATTTAAAAATGATCACCAAAATTGTTCTAACATTGTATTACCATCTAACAATTATTTACTAAATACTTGAATAAAATACAGTTTTTACAGTTAACAATCAAACATAAAATAAAGGGAGCTAAGGAGGGACAACTACATCTTGGGGTTCATTTCAGATTACAATCGACAAAGCTATACAATCGAAAGGAAAAATATACAGGCAAATAATGACTTTAAATCTGCTACAACAACAACTAACTAGAAAAGTTTCTATCTACAAAAGACCTTGTGAATAGGAGCGCAGATCCATTAACCCCTCTGAGGACAAGCAGCCTTGAGTCCACATAAGTTCCACACACAAGCTTTGACAAATCAAATATTTCTGGTGGAATTTGTGTTCTTAGTTCTTGTAGAACATTTTTTGCAGTATCAATGTTTTGATTTAATGGAGCATCAACATTCATCGTCACATCAATATCACTTGATGCAAGCTTGGCTGCCGGAAGACTTGACGGAAACTCCTTGAAAGGGATTATTTTTCTCCATTTCTTGCCTGTAAATTTCTGAGCTAAAGCCTCCACATTGCTGGAAGGGCCACTGAAGAACTTCTCTGTGGTCTTGTCTTGCTTCAAATATAACCGTCTTCCGGCTGTTAGTGTAAATGAAGAATTCACCTGCAATCTTCCACTCTTACCTGCTTTGTCATGAGGCCAGTCCTGACCAACCATGACAGAGAATCCAATGTCGGAGTCGAATGAAAGATTAGCTTTCAATTTTGATGCTCTTGTCACAGTTAAGTGCACATTGCCAACGAGTGCTCGGAGAGGAGGTTGCCGAAGGGTCAGGCCGATATGCTTCCCAGTGCAGTATAATAGACGCCATTTGCCTGGAAGCAGCTCCAGCCAGTTCTACAGACATGAATAGTAATACAAGTGAGCATAAGCAATAATTCTTTCATTTTAAAAAAATCGTACAAAGTTATAAGAACATGCTCATGCTTATATCCCTCCAATTTATAAAAATACTTGGTTATACCAAATAGTGAAAGTTAAATAATTAATATTGCAATTAAGCCGTTTTTTTTTTGTGTACCTGTATAGTAGATGAGGTCAATGTGTGGGAACTGGGATGGTCTTAAGGCATACTACAAGGCTAAACACCGGGAAATTCTCCATTAACGGGCAAAAAACTGAACTATAGAAGGGAACTAGACGCCACATGGCACTCAAAATCTTAGGAAAATAGTTGTATAGGTCCTTCTTATTATATGTTTTTCAATTTGTTCATTCCTATTTAACGTGGGACTTCTTATTCACATTAGCCACTCCAACAAATGGTAAGCATAAGTGCAGTCAAAATGGCTAAGGCTGTTGGCTTGGGCATTAACTATTTTACTAAAAAGAAATGGAATTATCGTAAAGAAAAACACTGTAGAAACAAGACCAGGAAAAGTATACCAGTTTTAATCCCAAATTACCTTTGGCTTTGGATGGGGATTCAGCATCTCCATTAAGTCAATGAAGTGGGCAAGCCTGCTACGCTAGAAAAAATGAAAGCTAGTCAGACTTTGTATTACGTATTTTCCTCATATAAGTACTGCTTTGAGTTAAATTTTCCCATCAAGACATTAACGACAGTATACAAATAATGAAAAGGAACATTAGTAAGGAGAAACTTGAGGACATCACACACCAACAAGTATAAAAGCTCTTATAAAAGCATCAAGGAATTCAAGAAGCAACGAAGGGATGTACTGCATATACAGGTCATCGTTGGATGAGTACCTGAGGCTCACGATAAATGTACTCCTCACTAATACGCATTGCAGTAGAACCCAGACCCCATCTAATAATATCCATTGACGGAACTACTCGCCATCTTGGTCCACAAAGGAATGGGTGTCTAAGAGCATCCAGACAACTGTATAAATGTTCACATTGTTAGCACATGAACAACTTCCAAACTCAGGCAGATCAAACTAGTATCTCTAATCAACTTCTATTGATATTTATGTTTTTACAAATGTATAAGAAACTAGCTACATGTCGCCAAAAGATTAAGCCTCCTAAAATACCAAAGAAACTTCAAACCCTTCTTCTCCATGACTTTATATTTTTATATCTACAATTTCTTCATGGCACTTTAGTTTTTCTTTTTAAAATCTTGACACACATGCTAGGTACAATTTATCTCAGCCCCAACAATATGGGAGCATTGATGAACAAATTATACACACTTTCAACTAGCTGGATATTGCTTCATAACATACCTTATCCTTTGAGAAGGTTTAGTTGCAAGCAATAAAGATAAAAGGTGCCAACCAGCTCCCCAGTTCCTATCAAGGATCTGCAAGAAATTAGAAAGGCGTCAAAAGAGTTGAAAGCAAGAATGTAACTCTAAATATCAAGCAACATTCAATGAAGAATAAACTTACTTGAAATCCAGCATTTCCATACACGGAACTTCTGCCAAGAATTTCCAACATAAACTCTCGCAAACATGAAGGATCATGCCCCTGAAGATGGGACATGAATTATCATTAGAAAATTCACATCATTGCATGACCCTTCCATCTAGATAGATATAAGAATAGGCAACATAGAAGCATTTCATGTATTAGGTATCTCAAACAAGGTAACAAACATGTATAGAAATGAAATATTTGTTAAAATAAAGGAAACAAGAGTCTGGTAAAATACTTCTATATTGATTTATAGAGTAAACAGATGACTAGTAAGTCACTTAGTATGGTAAGAAATTAAGAATAGTTATATAACACAATGCTAACTTGAGGATGGGTATCCATCTACGGTAGTCTTACAACTGTTCTTTCCTGAGTGATCTACTAAGGGTCATGTTCGTTTAGCCATAAATTGTTTATTATTAAAATGACCACTAATTTCAGCAACTGTTCAATCTTCACATTCTCATGATAATGATATATGTCCAGCTATCAACGAATATGTGAGTGTCTGTGTGTGTGTGTGTGAGATATATATATATATATATATATATAGAGAGAGAGAGAGAGAGAGAGAGAGAAGATTCCAGAAAAGAGAGAAAGGAACAAATTATATAGGTCTTAGTTTGTATGAGGGGACATATTAGAGACACAGCATTGTCGGGCACTTGCATAGCAGTCTAAAGCATTTAGGTCAACTAATTATTTAGGTCAAAACAGATCGAGTTCTTTTTAATCATTGGAGAGGCTAAATTGAATTTATAAATAAATAACTTTTCATACCTTTGTGAGGAACGATTTGAACTTTGCATAAATCAAAGGATCCATAAGTTCCCGCATTACCATTTTAGCCATTATGAAGCCCATGCATCTTTACAACAGAGATAACCAGGTATCAAAATATTATATAGTTCCAAACAGACTGAAAAATTCCAAAGCCATACCTCATGTCAAATGCAATCATCATCTGTCGCCTGTCCAACTTGTCCAAAGAGCTACTATTTGAACCATCCTTGTAAAAGTCGGCAGCATTACCCAATATACCTACCTGTTAAGTAAACAAAGGTTAAGCCAAGCATAAGGATATCATACATCAAGAAAAACAATTATCAATTTCCAGTAACTTGGATTGCACAACAAACCTCCAGTGCCAAAAATTGTCAGCCCTATGGAAATCACCACCAACAAATCTATATTGTACTCTATCTGTTATTTTTCCTTTCTTACATTTTATTGAATTTCTAATGATAGATTCTAATATACTTTTCTAATTTAGCATAGAAATTGATAAGCAAAATTATCACAATATATCCTTTCCTACTATGTGGAATCACAATAATTTTCAAACCAACAACAAAAACAAAACTATAGGTTTGTCTTGACATTCTGTGAGTTTACAGCATAATAAATTCATAAAACCACCTCTGGGATCAGGCAAACAGCACACATAATCCACAGAAAAGACATAAAATGAATGAAGAAAGAAGCCATAATTCTAATTTCATAAGAGAATGATAATGCTTACTTTGATATGTCTGTCTATTGGACTTATATGCACATTTTCTAGCCTCAACTCTGTATGGGCAAGACCGTGGCTGTGCAGGTAATTTACCTAATTTAAATAAACAATAGAAGAGAATATCATTTATCCTATTTCTATGTAGAATATACAAAGCGATTTCTCCTACTGCTACGTAGAATAATATACAAAGCACCTATAAGTAAAAATGTCTTCCATCAAAGAAAATATTAAGGGAAGCTGTTTTTAAAAAAAAGGGGAAAAAGAATACCCCAATAAGAAGATCCCTCATCAATATTCGAATAAGTCGCAACTGCCTAGAAACTGCAGGACCTCCAGTTGTATCTTCTCCTACCTTCCTAACAGATTCTTCATCCAGTGCAAGAGTGGCCTCTAAAGTTGGAAGCCAATCTGACTGTTGAAGCCAGTGTCTCAAAGAAAAACTACCATGATACTGCAAGAAAAATGATTAAAAGAACATTCAGTTTCTTTTATTTTACAAAAATGGCAGAAAGACTTGAATTGAGAAGACGTTCAGAACAAAAAAGAATCAACCACATGTAAAAGATTTAATAAATTTTACATAGATTAACACCTACCCCATGGACTAGGATAAATGAACCACTATTATCAACATTTACAGGCAAAGAGACATAACCGTGAACTTGCATCGAGTAAGAATGATAAAGCAGTTTACGCCGAACCAGCTTCTTCAATACCTAAAAGGAGATAACAAAAAAAAATTGTGATGGGATATAACTATGAGCAATTTAAAGTATGATACCAAAGGATCAATATACCTCTATTGCTCGTTTCCCTCTACGTTGAGCTTGAGCACTAGAAAGCTGTCGAAGTACAACTCTTGTGTTATACAAAGGGCTGCAGAGGAAAATGAATACATACAGATGTTATGATCAAAACTAAAACATACAACCTAAGTCAAGCAAAGACTTAACTTACCTACCACTATCCTTCACCGTGCCTTCAAAAACTACCTCATCCGACTACAGGAAAACTTAAATCAATCAGACCAGCATTAAAAATTCAATCCAGTCATAACACATCATACACTTATTTTTAAATGTCATACCCGCCCACCAAGGCCAATGCTAACACGATCTAAAATCTTGAAGTCAGACATTTTGAATCGTATTACATGATCCAGTTCCTCCTCCAAGCAAACGGAAAATGCACTTGGAGCATCTTCCTGTGACTCCATAGAAGATGCAGATGCAGCATTCCTTAAAGAAAAGCAGCACACTCCCTTGCGGTTTCTCCTGACCAGATTAGAGAATTGTCCAGTAAAACGCAGGGGAACAGGTAGAACAAGTTTTGTCGACAAATTTTGAGCTGAATAAGCTAAGCTGTTACACCCCGGAATTGGGTTCAGCCCAGTTCTACAAAGCGCCATTGATAAGACCTCTGAATACCAAAAAAGAAAGGATTAATTAACAGACACACAAGAAGCAATGATTCAAATAATTATAACAGACATACAAGAAACTAACTTGACATCCTACTTAACAGACAATCATTAGAAAAAGAAAAAAAAAAATTAACATTAGCCGGCTCAATGGTACATACAGAAAGAAACAAAATATGCCATTGTATTTAACTATATTCCCTTAGTTTCGCTCTCATGTCTGAATTAACCGAACAACGCTCCATTTTGCAACAAGAAGCTTAATTCCTAACTTTGAGCAAGGCTCCAAGTTTCTCTATCATTGCCTACATTTCTGGAGCTATTAACTAAGCTTTTCTGGTTTTGTCCTACAGTTAAAGAACATAAGAAGTTGCGGAACATTTTACCATGTTGAGTTGTTTCTCAACCATAACAAACAAGAGGAGAAATCAAAGCAAAAAGATTTCCGAATACTCCAAATCCAAATTGCAAAACGTAAGGAATTCAAGATCATTAGAAAAGGAGCAAGCATTCAGCAAACAAAATGAAATGAAATAGATGATTAAAAGCTGAGGAAGAGGAACGAGAAAAGAGTGAATCGGAGAATTCGAAAGTTAATTACCAGAACGGGAAAGGAATGCAGAAGAAATGTTGTTGGTCAGTGGTCACACACGCTCGTACATATAGAAACCAAGCGTGTGAGAGTTGCGTGCGAGGGAATGCTGGAAACGTTTTCCCACGTGTCTCTCGCACGTCAACGTCTGCCTCCCCAAATATCTATTTATCCATTAACCTCTTCTTCTTAATTCTTCTCGCTTTCCTTCGGTGCGGCGCTAATAATAATTCTCACAAACATAAATAAAATTTTTAAAAAAAATAATATTGGCTCTCTTTCTATAAAATATTATAAGTATATTTTTCCTTTCATATTTGGCATAACAACCAAAAAGTATCAATCTTTGAGTATTGTCATCTTATGTTATAGTTCAATAAGAATTCAAGATAATCACGTTAGAATTTTTCTTTCAACATTTTATTTCTCATTTTATTCCAGTTTCTTAAAATAAATTTATAATAAATAAAAGAGGGTGCCATAAGCAATATAATCCCACATTTACAAGCAATACACGAAGATTAATCAAAGGATCATTTGTGTCGTTTGCATGGAACGTTGCAATTACATGTGTCATGATTGTACCGAGACTAAAATGAATCTTCTAAAATTGTGGTTCTAAGTTCATCTTTCATGTAACGACATATATTTGACTTCTCTGAACTGTTGTGACGGATAGAAAGGAAATGGAAACAATAAAGAAAGCAATTCTGGGCCGTTGGAACATTGTACGTCAATCATGTCGAGTAATCAATTACTCGTAGGCAGATGATAAACACACCTCCACTCTCGTATAAACACACCCCCTTTTTAAAAAAAAAATATATAAAATGTCTAAATTATCCTTAAAAAAAAAATTCCTAAACTTACACCTCCCTTCCCCGTACCCCCGTTCCCCGCACCCCCACACCCCACACCCCCTTCCACTTGTGATTTGTGGCGGTTATTTTGGCAGTTTCTGGGGTTAACCACTTTGATAGGTGCAATGATTTCAGACGCAGAATTCATGCTTGCGCTCTCTTTGATTTGGGCTGCTCTGGCCCCAAATTGACATGGCAAGGGCCTAAACTCCATGGTTATGGCAGAATATATATATATATATTCACGTCTTGATCGAGCTATGGGTAACCAACGCTATCTACCTTCCCTGAGAGTTCGGTGGCGGTCTTACCTCGCCTGAAATTTGCGGACCATAACCCTCCGCCCTTGGTGGTTCATATCTCACCCTCTCCTTCGCTAAGGCAGAGACCCCTCAGGTTTGAAGCCGCTTGGATGTCCCATAAAGACTACCAGCGTCTTATACAGTCTAATTGGAAGACTCTCTCCCCTCTGGAATCGACTCTTGCTCAGCTGCTGGTTGAATTAAAAGAGTGGAAGAAATCCACTTTTGGCCACATTCAATCCAGAAAAAAGATTCTCATGGCTCGCATGAAAGGTATCCAGGAAGCCATCACTTACCCCAGCTCTAGCTATCTGAGAGAACTTGAAAAGGTCCTTCAAGACGAACTTGATGAGGTTCTCTATCAGGAAGAGAAACTTTGCTTTCAAAAGCAAGAAGGCAATGGCTCGATCAAGGTGACAGAAAGACTCGTTACTCAAACACCTACACCTATAATTTCGGATACTCCCAGTGACATTTCAGTGGCTAACAGCCCTGCTAATATTAATGAATTCACATATATATGTGAAGAAAGATGTTTGATTATAGTTTGCAATATGATTAAAAAAAAAATCTGATCGGAAAAATATCTTCTGTTGTTCTTTCTAACAGCCAGTCTTCCTCCGTAGATATCCCCAAAAAGGGGCAAACTATTTATAGTAGATCATCGTTTGATCCCCGTCAGCGTTATACTGATTCATGTATAGGAACTTTCCCATCACTCAAAATGCGGAGTAGCTGCCCTAGAGTGCAAGATATGAACCTTATTCTTGCTTCACTCTTGCCTCCCACTACTCCTTCCGCTCCAGTGGTGGTTTTGAGAAAGCAGCCGCCCCCTGTTCCTAATCCGGCTGAAATAGCGCTTAAAGCGCTAAATAAGGAGGATACAGTAGGGGTGGAGTTACTTTTAAGAAGCCCTAAGGTAGATCCCTCTCATTTTGTGCATAAGGTACAATATATGCATTTCTCCAGGTCCTTTCTTTCTCCTCCTTCATATAAGTTTAATCCGCTAGGGCCTAACACACATGCTCGAAATTATTTGCTATCTCAGATGAGCCGTGGGGAAATTTTCCGTTTACATCTGGTAGGAAATGTTTTAAGGCAATACATGTCTTCATTATCACTGGGCTATTATGCCTGGTATGCCTTTGTAGGGGAAGGGGGGTGTGGGGTGCGGGGAAGGGGGTGCAGGGAATGGGGTACGGGAAAGAGAGGTGTAAGTTTAGAAATTTTTTTTTAAGGGTAATTTAGATATTTTATATATTTTTTTTAAAAAAGGGGGTGTGTTTATACGAGAGTGGAGGTGTGTTTATCATCTGCCTTACTCGTATTGCCCATTAGCCCATCAGACACGAGGCCCAAAACAATACTATAAGGTAGCAGGGACTCTGACAACTAGAGCTAATCATTAGAGCATATGTAATAAGCAACTCTTTGTGTCACATTATGTTATATCAGTTCTTTTTTATTTTATGGATTACTTAAATTTTAACAAAATTGCTTGTAGAAGTTTCAGTGCTAAAATTTAAGCAACTCATAAAGTAGAAAAGAGCTAATGTGACATGATGTGGCAGAGAGTTGCTTACCAGAAATGTTCTTAGGAACAAAAAAGATGGAGATACCTCAAATGCTTAAAATACTTTTTTATGTTTATGTAATATTTTTTAATTTTTAGTTTAAAATTAAGTTTTTAAATTTTTATATTTTGTTTTTTTAATTTATTTTAGTTTATATAATTTAAGATAAGTTTTTGTAATTTATATATTTGTAATTTTTTAAATTATTTTAGTTTTTATCGTTATTTTTTCGTAACATTATTTATTTTATATTAATATAATAGATGTTTTTAATTATATGAGGTAAAATAAAAGTGTTTTAATAATGAATATTGTAGATAAGGACATAAAAGAAACATAAACGTTAAGAGACATTTAGAATAACTACATCAAAATAAATTTGATATAAAATAAAAAAAAGTGAAATTAATACATCTTTTGTGCATCATAAAAGATATAATAATAAAAAATAAATAAATAAGGTCATGGATTAAAGTGATTAAAAAAATAATCAAAACTAAAAAACGTTGAAAAAAATAAGTATAGAATTAAAATTATATGTTTTAAATTATACTGACTAAAAAGTAAAATAAATTAAATTATAGTGATTAAAAAGATATTTTAATCTAATTGAAATTATAAAAAATTATGTTGAATTAAACTAAATTAGAAATCAATTCAGATTAACATAATTGAATTATTTTTATACTTTCCTAAATTGAATTGAACTTTAAAAATTTAAAATGAACGTTATTTTATACTCAATCGAATTATTTTAGTGTTTTGAACCGAATTGTTTTGATATTTCAAATTGAACTGATTTAGTAAATTGGTCAGTTTAGATAAGCTAAATTAATCTATTTTATTTTATTTTTATTTAAATTTTATATAAAAAAATGTTGGACCAAATAAACTTAGGAGATTTCAAGTTTAAAAATTGTGGTTCAATTTTCTCTAATTGATATGGCCAAATTGACCTTGTTTTTTCAAAACTTTTTCCAGCTCAAGTCAGTTTGTCAAATTAGATTATTTTTTATACCTCTAATTTCTATCTTTAATAAAAAATAATTTAATTTTTTTATTTTAGTTTAATTCAATTCAGTTCATGAATAATTTAATTCAATTTTTCATAAAAAAAAATAATTTAGTTCAATTTTTTATAAGAATAGTTTGATTTTTATAGTTTAATTCATTTTACCACTAACTTTTTTTTTTCTAACGCCTAACCTGATCGTGAAGTTGGAGCGTAAAAAAAGATAAAGAAAAAAGGTGTTGTTATTATCAACTTTTTTTATAAGTTTGGATTCCAACTTTTTAATGTTTTTATTAATATATTCTTGATGGAAATTTATTGTTGTCATTGGGATTTACTCAAGGACGAAGTTGACAAAGTTCTTACTTTAGGTTCTTCAAAAAAATACTTTATATTTATATTTATATAATTTTTTTTATAATTTTATAATTTAAAAGTCACTTTTTATATTTTAAAAAATCACTTTAAAATATTTATTTTTAAAAAATACAAATATAATTATTTTTTAAAGATTCATCACTAAAATATTTTTATTTTTTATCAAAAAAAATTATTATTAATTTTAAAATAAACTCCATTTTAAAATTTGTTTTAAGTTTAATAATGTGTTAGGTAAAATAAGTTGTCTAAGATTTATTAAAATACATAAAGAAAATATACTTTTGTTGCATATCTACAAATCTTATCCAGATATATTATAAACCACTTTTCGTAGTAAATTTCAATAGAATTTGTTGAGATGTATAATAATAATAATAATAATATTTTTTGTTGAAAGTGTTTTATTAGAAAATAAAATTATAAGAATTTAAAATTAGAATAAAAAAGGTCAAAATATTTTTTTATTATTTACTTTATTTAATTAATTCAATTTAGTCTCAATACTATTAAAAAGTTCAATTTAATTTCTTGATATTAAATAATAATATAATGTATTTTTTATCTAATTAAGATTAACAATGATAGATTGTTTACACATGACAATATATATCATTTTTTTTACCAAATATATATATATATATATATATATAT